TCGCCTTTTCTGACGATCGACGTTGCTTGGACGGAAGTGTGTCGGAATTCACGTCCATCCGGTCAGTCGCGATATTTGACCGAGAATTCGGGTATCGTTGAGATTTTGCAATGGCATTTTTGCCATTGAAGTCGCGGACAACTTCTGAGCCTCCACTTCCCCTGGTTGAGCCAGATGATAGAACTTCATTCGCTGTAGACTTTGAAGAAGTTCCTGATCGTTTTCGGAGGGAAGCTTTGGGAGGACGCTGGGTTTGCCGGCTTTGAGGAAGTTCTTCGTCTGAGTCGTCGATTATGATGACATCCATAGGCGCAATGTAAGGAGCTTTTCCTGATTTGTTACCAGAAGCGCGATGTGTGTTGGAAATTGGAATAGTTGGCGGAGGCTGGACATCATTGGAATTTGGTTGCCTCTTAGAAGGGCGGCGATCACTATCAGAGCTATCGGTGAGGTCGATGACGCCTGAAAATGTGTCAAAAGAAGTTGTACAAGTCGCAGATTCACTTTTACTTTTCGATTCATTAGAACTTGATGAAGAGGAGTGGGCGATAGGAAGGCCACTCCCCTTCGGATGGTCTCGCAACTTGGATGGCTTTGAAGGGAAAGATGTTTCTTTCCTAAGAGAAGGAAGATTAGCTAGAAATTCGGAGGTTAGACCAATAGAGCGGAAGATTGACCCCTTTGGTATATCTGTCTTCTTGTTGTTGACAGCTGGTAGCCTGGATGGTCCAGGTTGAGATGTCCTATGAGGATTGGACGAGGGTAACGAGACCCTGGAGCTTCCATAAGGCTGAGCAGCCTTCAATGCAGAAACGTTAGCAGACCCTGTTTGAAAACATTATTCGTGCTGAAAAGAGTCCTGAATGAACATACCTCTCTCCGTTTTTTGGCGCTTAGGGCTCGCCCGGGATGCAGGTATTGGGAGACCATTTCCCTTGCTCTTCCGTTTGAGATTACCAGAGAGTTTCCTGTTTTCCCTATCCTCTTGGGATTCAGAGTCACCGGCTGAAGAAGGCTCTGAATATTTCTGGTCATTGGCTGGTCTGAAAACATATAGGACCTCACACTCGCCTGGCATCACCTCCCAAGTCGCAACGGACTGGCTCCTGTCCATATAAGTCCAGGGGCCTCTTCAAGCGGACCTCGACGCGTAGACCCCTGCGCGTCGTGGAGGTGCTTGATCAAGTTGTGTGATCAAATAATTTATTGAAATTGTTTATATTATGACTGCCACCATCCCTCCTACTCATCGAAGTAGAGACACCTTGTATGTCCTCTTTCTTCTGAGTTATATACCCATTGTCCTTTGTAAGCTTAACCCTCCTTTATAAAATGTTAAATACTCATTGCATTGTTAGTCTTTGACAGCCTTCCTCTCTATCCCACTGGCCTCGCGCCCAGCACCCTCCTTTCTCTACATGAATGGTACAAGGTTCATTTCAATGACCAGCTAGTCATCTCTCAGCCCCCATGGTTCCGTCTTTTTACCCTTACCGAACCCTTCTATCAACTCCCTGTCGCCGTATGGGCAATATGGGCCTTGCGTTCAAAGTCATACAAGGCACCAGCTCACCTCTTGCTCTGGGCCACAATATGCTTTGGAACCACGATTACCTGCCTATTTGAGTTTTATCACAATCAACTCATGAGTTACCAAGAAAAATCTGTGCTGATCACAATGTACGGCTCATACGCGCTAATCTGTGAGTTCATCCTTTCGTTTTACCATGCAGAAAAAAAGCCTGACGTGATCTTACAGTTGGTGCCATTGGTTTGGATATGTTTTGTAGGATTCAAAGAGTACTGAAGGCGGCTGCTCTACTTGGCGAGGAAAAGCGAGCACTTTAGAGTTCTTCTTATACCTTCCTGCCCGTGTTTTTTTTGCCGTTCGTTTTTTCTTTCTTTCTGTGAGATGCAACCAAATGACTGA